ACTAGAGATTGTGATAAATTTTATATTGCAAACCATTTATGTTGTGAGCACAGGCTGAGGGCGAAATCGTGATAGACTCAACAGTTAGTAATTAGCACTCTACAGGGTAAATGCTTTTAGCATTTCACTTACGGCAAGGGCATGTGATCGCAGGCAGGACTTTTTTGTTCACAAACGAACCTTAGTCGGGCACGGTACTATGTACGGGCCTAGCCATACTGACGGTCTTTCAAAAAGTGTCAGGACAGGACTTTTTACCGTGTCCTAAATGTTACCTTAAGCTTATCTTCAAACACCGTTGGAAGTTATTGTTAGTCCATGTATAGTACTAGGGGGAGAGAGAGTTTCATATTCCTGTACCCAAACCACTTCGCCAACAGCAAAGGTTTGTAAGATGCACAATTTTGCGCTGTAGAAGCGACATTCGAATGTGGCGTACTGATGCGCCTCTGGAATAACTGCTATGTAATTATGAACGTAATTGACCGCGTGTTTACATTGTACCTTTTACCTCCTTCCCATATAAATTTAATGGCCTGATGAGTATTTATCGAAAGTATACGTGCGCTCGCCAACCACTCTTTTGAATTCTCTGATGGGCATTTTCGCAACTTTAAACTTCATGTTTCATAGAATGTCAATCGAAATTCTAAACTGTGTTCTTGGTTCGAAAAGGTTACTTAAGTAGAGTCTTAAGACTGATTAGAATGCAAGCTGCTCTCGAGATTTCAGCCACATCTAGATACCGGCTTTTGAACGAGCTTCTCTCTGATCGTCTGCAGAAAGCATACTCTGTAAAAAATAATTACCCAAGTAGCACATATTTTATTTTTTACATTACCAAAACTGTTCTTTCGTGTACTCGTTTGGTAGCAACTTGCGTCTTCTTCAAAATGATAACTTGAGGAAAGGATATGTTACGGTTTTGAAAAACATTTATAACTTCGCAATGGGATTGAACTCTAACGACTACTGCACTCGCATTCAAGATTTACAAACTAAAGAAAATCAAACACTTCGCTACGCTATGAAGAAGAAGAAGAAGAACGGTCGCATAGTTCTCACAGCAGTTTGCAGTAAGTTTGGACTATTTTGTATATTTTAAATGCAACAGTGCTGAACCTCTGAGAAGATGCAGTTAAATTTTGAGGCGATGCCTTTACGCCGCCACACAAATCACGATGCGCAGTAAGAGTGCTCACTGGCCTCCATTGGGAAGCAAAACAAAAAGGTCACTTCCGACCACCTCGTGTGTGGCCTCACGTCCTCCTGAGAAGCGGGTTACATGGGGTGGGCGCCGACAGGCCCTTCGAGTGATCTACCTTGCGACCACTTGCCACTTCCGGCCACTGAGACACCGAAGTCTCACGCCAACGGGGGCGGCAAACTATCCAATGAGAGAACTCAGGGGATATTCAGAGTTGCGAAAATTCACAATGAAAACTTAACAGATAATTTGGCTGACATACGTCTGTTTTGGATAAATTCTTTTCAGGTATTTTATTTTAATTCTTATATAAATTTATTTATATTTAGCGTCTGCCATGGTCCGTCATACGACAACATGACACTAGCATAGCCCCTTTTTCTTATCCATTCTCACTCAACTAGCCGCTGCTTAGGATGCCTTATCAATTAAGCTGCATGCCTAACTATTTATGCATATGTAGTGGTCTTAGTACAGTACAAGCGTCTTCTTGTTACTGAACCTATTCGCGGATGATAATCCACTTTTCTTTGAGGACGGCCGAAATGCAAACACCTGGTTCAGTCTTCATGGACAGAGCTTTACTCGGCAGACGTTTGACAAACTATTCACTTCAGCTAAATATTCACCAGTGCATTTACATTTTATGTAAAACTATAAAAAGGTGCTAACAGGACGCATCAAGAAAAAACGTGAATGTTAAACACATAAAAGTTCGATCCAAATATTGTGGAAAAGTGCCTTGAGGCTCCCATAAGATAAATTAACCGAAGAAAACATGGTTTTGTCTAAAGCTGAAACACTTGAAATAGGTTAAGGGTTTAGGTTATTCCGCTTATGTATCTGACTAGGCACTCAAGAAGACATCACCGGGCAAATGTAGCTGCGAGGAAATATAAATGAAGTTCCTGTTGTCGCAGTTAACTAAACAGGACACACAGGAAATTGTTTTTCTCCGTGCATGAGAGGACGCTGGAAAAAGTATTTCGATAAACCTGACTTAGGTGAGCTGTTTGGCAACGACGGAAACAGAAAACGAAAGAACAGGGTAAGCGAACAGGGCCATTTCGCAGGAAACAGTCCCACAGGTACTCGTTGAAGAGAATTTGACTAAAGGGTAAAAATTGACTTGCTGGAACGAAATCCAACTCAGCCTCTTCAGTCAAGTGAGCTAGGATGCGCCAATAAGATAATATGGGTAAAATGAAGTAGTCACTAGCACCCGCTCTGATATCGCAATCTGATCGCTCGTAAGTTATTTTCCAGTGAAATTACTTCAAAACCGCGGATAAAAAGGTAGAAAAGCTATTTTCACGGGTTTTTTGTAAATATGAGCCTATTTCTTGGATAAGCTGGGTGCAGTCAGTTTGCAGTCCTCAGACCTACCCCACCACTCACTCTTTCTCATTCACATTCAAGGACTTAAAATAAATGTTAGA